CTAACCTGCCCAAAGGAACATACTGCTACGCACAAACCTATGCCACCGATTACGTAAGCTCAAAAAACCCAAAAAAACAACAAAAAGATAAACACACAAACAACCAATACAAGTGGTGGAACACACATACGTACAAAACCGAAATAAAACCAACAGTAACAAACCTGACACACCTTACCCCTAACATGCATAGAGTAACAACTACAACGCAACAACCACCCCACCCAAAACCAGTAGCCCACCACCCCCATCACGAAAAAAATGGAAACACAAAACCATAATGCAGATTACAACTCCAGACACTATCACACAAAACTATTGGACCCATATGCATTTACCCCACCAAAAAATCCAAAACCCACACCCCATTCTGGGTTGAAAAAAAAGAAGAAGGAAGACACAAAGTGGTTGACATTGTCCGAAAAAACCATACACAATACAGCAAAAAAAAAACAACATTAACCGAAACCGTAACTACCCAGTCCCCCCTCCCAGTCCCCGCCTCCCAGACACCCATAAAAAAAAAGAAGAAAAAAAAAAAAAGAGAGGATGGCCGTCAGAAAATCACCACCATTTGACCGCCACAGACACCAAAATCCCACAGAACGCACACCCAAAACCCCCCGAAACGAAAAAAAAACAGTAGCAAAAATCGGACAGTTTTTTACTGGATTACATTGTTTGTAACCTAGCTTACTAGCCCACTTATTATTTAATGAATAATTATATATATATATATATATATATATATATATATATATATATATATATATATATATATATATATATATATATATGTATATATATTTTTGTATAATCCAATATTTAAACCTCTAACCTTTAAACTAATAATTAATACTTTTTCCAATCAAACACCTTAAACTTGTCGTGGTCAAGTTGAAATGTGCTCATAATATCATCTTAGGAGGCATAGGTTGGAAATTTTGGATGGTCTTAAAATACCTAGCTTGCTAGCCCGACCACTTATTATTTAATGAATATTTTTGTTTTAAAATGTTTTTTAGTTGTATAATCCAATATTCAAACATCTAACCTTTAAACTAATAATTCATACTTTTTTCCAATCAAACACCTTAAACTTGTCATGGTCAAGTTGACATGTCCCCACAATATCATCTTAGGGCAGCCTAGGTTGGAAAATTTGGGCGGTCTTATATCTATAGAACACATGCGCACGAAATTCCACACTGCTAGCGAGATAAGGGTAGTTAGGGGAGACTAGAACTTAGTCCATAAGTGCTATAAAAGAGCGTGCCATAAAATAGGCTTGGAACATGTTAAGGAATATATATTTGATATATAGAATCTCTATATATTAGGCAGTTTAGGGTTTTAGGTAGGTAGGACATGTGGAAATTGGTTTCCTATTCGTAGTCTTCTAGCTCCTATTTATAGGCCTTTGTATTCTTTTTTTCATATGACAGTTTGAGACAATATACGACAGCACATTAGAAACTCTCTCTTTACTTTTGTAACATGGTATCTGAGCATTTACGATAAAGAGATTTTTTTTCGCTCCGCTATCGTCACCACCCATCTAGGAAGCTTCGCCGGCGACCGTGCTTGCAGATTTTGACACCGATCTGGGCAGCGTGAGGGCTTTCGGGCCACCGGAAAATTTTTCCATCACCTGTTTTTGGGTCGCCTAAGTCCCATCTTCTCGGTTCTGGACTTAGTTTGGACCATTTGGCTTCCGTGATTTTTTTATTCTACGATCAGGTTGTTTCGTACCCCTTCAGGTTCCCTTTTTTTGGTGTGTTTTGTGATATGTGATGGTGGGTATGGCTGAGGATGTTGTTGCCTTAGGCTCTTGTGACAGAGAGGGTTATTGGTGAGGGGTTTGCGTCTAGGGGTCTTTATGTTCATGACCTCTAGAAGGATGGAGTTCGTTGTGTATTTTAGTGCTGTCTTGTTTTAATGGTGTATCGTTTCGTATTTTAGTACTGTCTCGTTTTGTATTTTTGGTGTTGTCTCGTTTTGTGTGTTGGTTCTATCCCGTTTTGGTGATGTCTCTCCTTTGTTTAGGTGATGTCTCTCCTTTTTTTATGCTCGTTGTTTGGAGCATGCTTCCCTTTTGTTAGTCAAGATACTTCCCTTTTGCTAGTAAAGAATTTGTTTCCTCAAAATTGGAGTTTGTCTTCTTTACCTTGTGTGTTCAAGCTTGTTCGGTCCACTTTGTGTTCACCCGGAGTTGCGGCATTGGTGGCGTCCAAGCTTCCGGTTCAGGGGGAGGGTCCAATCCCAAGCTTGTTCGGTCCACCACGTTGAGTTCACCCAACTGTCTGTAGGTATTGGTGACGTTCACAGCTTTCGCTTCAGGGGAGTATCCAATCTCAAGCTTGGTCGGTCACTTTGTGCTCACCCATTGTTCGTGGGATTCGTGGCGTTCGAAGCTTTCGTTGGAGGGGGAGTATGAGTATCCAATCTCAAGCTTGTTCGGTCACTTTGTGTTCACCCATTGTTCGTGGGATTGGTGGCGTTCAAAGCTTTTGTTTCAAAGGAGTGTCCTAAATGGACTTGAGTTATTTGTTATTTAGTTATTTTTGGTTATCACTCATTTGTGTAACAAGTTGGGCATTATTAAAATATATGCTCCAACTTGAGGGAGAGTGTTAAGGAATATATATTTGATATATAGAATCTATACTTTAGGTAGTTTAGGGTTTTAGGTATGTAGGACATATAAAAACTTGTTTCCTATTCGTAGTCTTCTAGCTCCTATTTATAGCGCTTTGTATTCTCTTTTCCATAAGACAGTTTGAGACAATATACGACAGCACATTAGAAACTATATATCTTCACTTTCGTAACAGAACAACTCTCCATAAACACTATAGGAGATGAATTCAAGAAAGAGAATTAAGTTAATGAAAGGTCCGAATTGGTCGTGGAGTTAGAAGAAGTTTTGATCCACTTGGATCAAACCCACCCTAACTGATGTATAAAGATTGGGAAAGGATTCCCCACCAACTTGTGAAAGGAGATTATCAAGGTCCTTAGGAAATACTCCATCATATTCACATGGGGGCCCGAGGACATGCCGAGGATTGAAAGGTTTAATCATTATGCATAAGCTAGTTGTAGATCCCGCATGCAAGACAATAAAACAAAAGTGCAGACATTTGTCGTCCTATTGAAGGACCTTCATCAAGACTAGGTTAACAAGTTGTTAGCCTTAGGCTATGTAAGAAATGTCATGTATTCGAAGTGGCTATCCAGCGTAGCGATGACGCCAAATCCACCCCACCTAGCTCATGAATATAGATTATGCGGACTTAAACAAGGCTTGCATGCAAAATCCGTTCTCGTTGCCCAAAATGGATCAATTAGTATATGAAATAGCAAGTTGTGAATTATTAACTTTCATGGGTACCTTCAAAGGGTATCACCAAATCTTCATGGAGGAAACAAACAAAGAAAAAAAATGTTTTTTGTTATCCCATACAAAATTTACTTTTATTAGGTCATGACCTTTGGGTTAAAAAACTTCGAGGCAACTTTCATCCCAAATAGTGGTTGGAGTATTCAAGGACCTCATGGGGAATATCATAGAGGCCTATGTGGATGATATATTAGTAAAAAGTAGGAAACCCAATCCCACCGAAAGCATTTGACCCATTGCTTCGATGTGATGAAAAATCGCAACCTCTACTTAAACCTCAAAAAGGACATCGAGGGATTATGGTGAATCCAAAAAAGGCCTATCTAGTTTGGATATGCAACCCCTGAGATTGCTAAAAGGCATATAAAGACTGAATGGGATGCAAGTAGTCTTGAGTCGCTTAATGTCAAAATTGGCTGAGTTATCATTCCCATCTTTCAGGTGATGAGGTAAAGGGAAAGTTTCATGTGGATATTCGATTGTTAAGAGATCTTTAATCATTTTAAGGCATACTTGGCCTCAACCTCGTTATTATCTAAACCAGAAAAAAAGGGAAAAGCATTATATATTTAATTTGGAGTAACACCCATGGTTTAAAAAGGCGTAAAGGTGTGCCTCAGAGTGAGGCGTAGGTTTTGGGTACTAAGGCGTATGCATCAGCCCTATGAGGCAGTCGTTATATTATAGACCGCGGTGCATGTGCACCGCGGTCAAAAACGGCGTCGTTTCTTTAAGTAAAGAAACGGCCCGCCGTTAGAGTTAATGGAGTCCGCTTGTTTGGTGTATTAAACACCAACTGACACTATAGTATATCTAAACCGACACTGCAGTTATATCAAAATGATACTGTAGTTATAGTGAAATGAAACTGCAGTGTATATAAAATGAAACTGAATAACGTTTCACATATTTGAGTGTATATTGTACAATGAAGCTGTAATTATATCAAAATGATCATGTAGTTGTGTTTTAATAAAACTATAGTGTATATAAAATAAAATTAAATAACATTTTCACATATTTGAGTCTATAAATATCGAATGAAACTATAGTTATATCGAAATGAAACTGTAGTTGTGTTGAACTGAAACTGCAGTGTATACAAAATGACACTGAATAACAGAGTTACTTTTTGCAAAAGGGTGCGAAACAGCGGAAATAAACACTGTTTATTTTCGTTTAAAAAAAAAGACGCGCAGTGCATAATCGATTATGCACCACGGTGCATAATATAATTTGCCCTATGAGGCGCGCCTCAATACTTACTTGAGGCGTATAAGCTTTAGCCCAAAAAAATTGACAATTTAGGGGCAAATTATGCTGTGGATCTGTATGCACCATGCATGGTGCATACAGATCCACACGACGTCGTTTTAGCCTAATGACGCGGGGTTTTATAAAAAAAAAAAAAAAATTCCGTTAACGGCGTTTACTTCCAAATTCCTTTTGAGTTTGTTTCCAAGTTTCAAACTCGATCGTTGGCAGTTGTTCGCTGTGGTATTGGCATTCGATATCACCGGAATCGCGATCGCAATCTCAATCGCATTCGCAAATCGCAATCGCAAATCGAAATCGGGAATTACAAAGTGATTGATAGATGGAGGATGGAACAGAGCAGACGAATTCCGCAGTTGATGATTGGCATTCGATTCAAGGTGATCTTGTTATTGTTTTTGCAATCGTTCCTTTTGGTTTTTTATATGATTATGTGATTAGCAGTGATGTTTGTGTCTAGAATCTGCAAATAGTTGTGCAAAATCACGTAAGTAATTTCCATAATTGTGTAACAACAATTTCAGAATTTGAAAACAATAATTCCATAATTTCATAACTATATTTCCAGAATTGCATGTCTATATATTCAGAATTAGGGGTACTCTGTTTTGGCAGTTTGTTGCGACTGTGTATCCAGAATTGTATAACTATATTTCCATAATCATATAACTATATATACAGAATCTGTAGACACTCTGTTTTTTCTGTTTGATGAACTGTTTGAATTAATGTTCACCATGTCTATATAATGTAGTTAGTGAAGGCATTGTGGATGGTTCAGTAGATGTTGATGGATCTTCATCAATTACAGGTTTATTCATAGTGGTTTACCTTTTAATTAGCAAATTATGGTTAGGAATTATGTGTTAATGGAAATGGTTATTATTGTGTTATATTTGCAGTTGATCAAGATTTGGTTGGTTTGGTAGTAAGTAATGCTGATGAGGCTTTTGAGGTGTATAACAGTTATGCATATACACTTGGTTTTAGTGTGAGGAAGGGTCATCAACGATACAAGGGATCTTCGAACACAATTCAAATGAAGAAATTTTGTTGTTCTAAGGCTGGTTACAAGGCTAACAGTGGGGTTAAGGCTTATTCCAAAATTGACACAAGGACAGGGTGTGGAGCGTTTGTTCAATTTGACGTGGGTGATGATGGGTTGTGGACAGTTACGAAACACGAGAAAGTGCACAATCACGAGTTATGTGTGTTCAACAAGAGTCATCTACTTCGTTCACATAGGAGTGTCGGAGATAATCAGCTCTTATATTTACAAGGTTTGAAGGACAGTGGTGTTGCATTGGCAGATGGTATTAGGTTCCTAAAACACCAATCGGGGGGGGTCCCCTTTAGTTGGTTTCACCAGTAGAGATGCTTATAATTCAATGGCTGCGGATACTGTCAAGCGATTGGATGGAACGGATTCTAACTCTTTAATTGAAATTTTTAGGAGGAGGCAGTCTACCGAGACTGATTTTTTCTTTGATTTTGAACTTGACTTGGATGCAAGGTTGTGCAGTTTTTTTTGGAGGGATGGTCAAATGAGACGAGATTACGAGGTGTTTGGGGACTTGTTAGTGCATGATACGACATATCGCACAAACAAATACGATATGATTTGTGCCCCTTTCGTAGGGATGAATCACCATTGCATGAATGTAATGTTTGGATGCGGGTTTTTGATGAACGAGAGGATAGAATCGTTTGTGTGGTTGTTTAAAGTGTTTTCAAGATCAATGGGTGGCATGTCTCCACAGACTATTATGACAGATCAATGTGCAGCTATGGCTGCTGCTATATCTAAAGTGTTTCCAACATCACGTCATCGTCTTTGCATATGGCATATCGGTGAGAATTCAAAGAAGCATATCAAGACGTTAAGGAGCAATAAGGATTTCTTGGACATGTTTAACTACGTGTTGAAATACACAGAGACCGAAGCTGAATTTCAATTCTATTGGACAAGGTATGTTAGTAATTAATCGTTTTTATTGCATTACGTTTGTAATTATGGATGTATAGTGCATCAATTATGGATATATAGTATTTCGATTATGGATATATAGCAGTGGTGGTGTCTGGAAATGTAGTATATGGATTATGGATATATAGTATTCCGATTATGGATATATAGTATACCGATTATGGATATATAGCAGTTGAACTTACTGGTGGTGTCTGGAAATGTAGTAGTATGGATTATGGATATATAGTCTATCAATTATGGACATATAGTATTCCAATTATGTATATAGAGCAATAGAAATTCTGAGTATGTGTTAGATGTGGTGATGCTGCTTGTTAATATTCTGCTTCATAATCATTTGGGATTTTGTCTTACCATTTTCAGGTTGGTGACTGACTATAAATGTCACAAGAATAATTGGTTAGAAAAGCTATATGACTGTAGGGAGAAGTGGTGTCCAGCATTTAACAAGGACTATTTTTCTGGGGGCATTCTATCATCACAAAGGAGTGAAACTACAAATCATTCGATTTCTAGAAGGTTGTCCAAGACAGCGGGTCTTTGTGATTTCTATTCATCGTTTGTAAGCGTAATTTCTGAATGGAGAAGTAAAGAGAACGGTGAAGACTTTCGGTGTGCTCAAGGGGTACCCGCTATGATGATGGAGCATGTGAAACTTCTTTCACATGCTAGAGAGGTATACACGATTGAGATATATTTTCTGTTTGAGGAACAATTCATGAAAGGCAGTGCGTGTCATCAAGAGATGGTGTTGAATGATGGCCGTCAACAGAAGTATCACGTGTGGCGGCCAGATATAGATATTATAAGGCATGAGGTTAGTTTTAACGCAGCCAACTTGGACATTTCTTGTAGTTGCAAGTTGATGTCTGAGTTGGGAATTCTATGTTGTCATTGTATACGCATTCTTCACGTACATTGTGTTTCTAGTATTCCCGACAAATATATACTTAAAAGATGGACTAAAAAGGTTATTGATGGTAGGAATGTCAACATTGATTCTATGGTTTATAATGTTGGTGTTCCTCCATCAATTTGGGTGTTCGATATTAGTAGAAAATTTCAAAGATTAGTTGTGTCTAGTCAAGATAGCAGCGTAGCGAGGAAACTGTGTGACGAGGCTGTTGATGATGTAAAGAAAAAGGTTGAAGCCGAGGTTGGGCATGTGCATATTGAAGAGTGTGGTGTTTCATCTTCAAGTGGTGGTGTTCAAAATCCTTCAAGTCGGAGATTGAAAGGTGAGCGTAACAAAAGGAGGAGTGGTGTTATTGAAAAGAAGTACAGTCTTGCAAGGGGGAGAAGGAGTGCTGCAAATAAAGCTGCATTGAGTACAAAGGGTGCTGTTCAGTCTTTGGTGTTGGAAAACATATCCAAGCTTGCTGGGGATGGATACCTTGTACATCCAAGTTCTTCAAGTTCAGATTTTGTTCAGTTTAGTAAGGGTTTAGATGACAATGTAGGTGTAGATTGAGAAATACAAGTTGTTATCATTGATTTTATGCAATTATACAGTTTTAGTTTTGTAATTCTGGATATGTAGTTTTGCAATTTTGGAACTGTAGTTATGAAATTATGGAATTATAGTTATACAATTATGGAATTGTAGTCATGCAATTATGAAAGGTATGCAATTATGAATTTGTAGTTATGAAATTGTGGTGTTTAGTTATGCAAGTATGGATGTATAGTTTTGCAATTATGGTATTATTGTTACGCAATTATGGAACTATAGTTATGCAATTGTGGAATTGTTTATATACAATTATGGAATTATAATTATGAAATTATGGAATTATAGTTATGCAATTATGGAACTATAGTTTTGCAATTCTGGATTTATAGTAGTCATGCAATTATAGATTTGATACATGAAAACAAAAACAAAAAAAAAAAAAAAGTAAAGAAAAGAAAAGAAGAGAAAAGAGAAAGAGGTGCATAGATCAGATGTAAATTGTTATTTAGCTATTAACATCATGCATCTACATTCACAAAATACAAGTCACATTGTCAATGTAGTTCACAAAAACTTTCTAATTGTTTAGAATTCAGTCAACATGTTGAAGAATATCCATTCAATTCTTCTTCGAAACTCTTTTGGCCGCTTGCAGAACCTCCCCCCTGACTTCATTCATTCTCCACTTTATGAGGTTCGCAGCATATTTCGCTCGCAATTCACACATGAAGCTTGCCTATAAACAAATAACATTAAGTAATTAGTCATTCGCAGTTTTATTTATTTTTTAATGTATTTTGAAACTATAATATGTATGGTAGTCTTACATTCAAGCGCATATTTTTCTTGAATCCTGGCTGCCAGTCTTGTAGAGTCCCTCGGAATGTCTCCATATGACGGAGTACATAGATCCCGCAATCAGTGACGTTTTCAGTGTTTGCCCAGTCCAACTTAAGGTACTTTATATCAACTTTTTGCAATTTCACATACAAGGAGTGGCACTCGGCCTTAAGGTAACCACTGAATGCTTCAATCTGGTCAGAAAAGTTAGTTTAGTGTTGATAATGCTTTTATGTCAATAGATAGGTAATGGTAAGAATGTCAAGTTTTTTTTTATCAAAATTACCAATAAGTGTGGGCAGTTGCCATATTTGTCCTTCTCCGAAACACCAGCTGGTAACTCCTTATTGTCAATGACCTGTACTTTATGTTCTTTCACATTGAAGCAGACCAAGAAGTAGTGACCATGGCGATGAACTGCGAAGAATATCTAATTCCAATTCAAAGTTAAAGCAATGTTAGTATTTTTTTGGACATGATAAAGTCAAATTGGACATGGGTAATAGAACTTACCAGATCTGCATCACTGATGTCTAGGTTCCCGAAGCTGGTTATTTCATAGCTCAATCTCTCATTGAAATTCTTCATTTTTATGTGAGTTGGGAGATCCTTCATCCACTGATCATTGGGATCAATTTGAAGCTGCACATACAAATGCAGGAATGGGTAGTCATAATCCAAATAATATTTGTTGAAAATGTTAAAGTTATACATACAGAGTTATATATATATATACATTTCCAGAATTGTACAACTATAGTTCCATAATTGGATAACTATAATTCCATAATTTCATATCAATAATTCCATAATTGCATATAACCAATTCCATAATTGCATAAGTATAGTTCTATAATTGCATAACTATAATTCCAGAATTACAAAATTATAAAACCAGGGGTTCACAGGTACACATCCAGAACTGAATAACTACATATCCATAATCTAAAAACTATATATTCATAATTTGTGAACACTTACATGTACTAGGGTGGAGAAGTAGACCCGCTTTGTCTCCCCAACCGCACGGGGCATGTTCAGCAATGTAAAACGTAGGGACCAGACATCTAGGAAGCTGCTCAGTAGCTCATAGTCTAAATCTGCATAAGAAAGCAGTAACCTACTTATCAAATTCATCAATCTCAGCAGCAGTTTGGGCAGCAGGGGTAGTAGGAGTGGTGGACTTTTCGAATGGCACTCTGATTAGCAATGGAGTTGCTTCCTTCTCTGTTGATACTCCTGCACTCCTCACAATGTTATCCACCAAGGTGTCCAAAGGCTGCTGTTGAGATGGTGGTGGGGTTGGTGTAGAGCGTCCAAGTAGCTCAAATGATGGGACTTCTATTTCCATTTCCTTTCTTGTTTTTTCAAAAGCTGCTACCAGAGAATCAACTGCTGATGTGAAGCTCTCACTTCCAAAGAAGATGTCATCCAATTGCGAGGCAGTTGGGCTAGGAGTCGGTTGAATTGTGCTTGCAGCACTCAGCATTGTTGATATTCCTGAAAAAGCCCTCTTCATGATTTCAACCGGGGCCCCTTGCTTGCCAATGTCAGACATGACCTGACCGAACTCAAGGACATCTGCTGTAAGCCGTTGAAGCACATTTGTTACTCGGTCAACATTTGTCAGAGGCACAGATGGAGCTGGAATAGTTGGTGTAGCAGCAGGGCTGGACACTGGCCTTGGTATTGCAGCAGGAGGAGGTGCAGGTCGGGGTGATGATGTAGATGCAATGGCAGTAGGTCTCTGAAATCGAGGGATAACTTTGCCCTTACCAAAACCCCCTGATTTTATCTCAGCCGATACTCGCTTGCGTACAAGGCTTTTTGTCCAAGCTTTTATTGCTGGGAATGTGCGGTTGACGGTCATGCCTCTGAACTGTACTCGGTCAAAGTAGAAGAGCTTCAAGAAGTACAGAAGAGTATGTTAAGGAATTGAATAACTACATATTCAGAATTGCATATCTATAATTCCATAATTGCATAACTATAATTCCATAATTATAAAACTAGATATCCAGAATTGCATATCTATAATTCCATAATTGCATAACTATAATTCCATAATTGGATGACTATAATTCCATAATCCATAAAGTACACATCTATAATTGATTAACTATAATTCCATAATTGTAAAACTATTATTCCATAATTGGAAAACCACAATTCCACAATTACAAAACTACACATCCATAAGGGCATAACCACACATACAGAATTGCATATCTATGATTCCATAATTGCATGAATATAATTACATAATTAGAACATTTTATGTATAATGGGATATTACCAGGATGAATACCATTGGACCTCCAAAGGATCTGGTAGGAGAGTCTTTGTAAATGTCATACGAATCAATTAAAGAATTGTACGTGTACTTGCACCAATTAAGTCTTGAGATTGACCGGATGTTGAGCAATGACTTGATAACTCGATAGTTGGCATATCTTCCTGTATTTCCCCGGAGCAGAGATGAGACAGCAAACACCACAAAGTCTCTCTTGAAGGCATCTCCATGGTCACCTCTCCTGATTATTTCATCAGGCATCTTTGTTGTTATGGGTGACCCTGACCTGACATTCCATCTTTTCCTCCACTCAGTCAGGACCTTATTATATGCAGCTGTAGAATTTTCCTCACTCTTTGTACCTTCCTCAACATCTCTCTTCCCCCGGGGGAGTCCCAAGATGTATTCAACATCCTCTTCACCAACATGTAGATGGTCACCATCCAATATGAAGTCTGATTTGAAAACATCAAACCTTTGCAGGAGATACTCAACAAGTTGTGAGTAATTGCTTGAAAATTGTAGGTGCAGCAGCCCTCCAAAACCCATATCAATCACAGCATCCTTTTGGTCATGTGTTAGACGCTGGACAAGGTCATACATTTGCTTGGGACCCATTCGTGTACTGAAGTAGTTCACATCAGGGTCCCGTACTCTCTCTTGCTTTTGTGGTGGTGCCCTCTTTCTTTTTACAGCTGCTGGTTGTTGCCTTGTCGAAGGCTCTGCTTGATCTTCCTGGGCAGGGGTGAGTTCAGCAGCTTGTGAGCTCAATACTGATCTGGTTGTTCTCTTTTTTACAGACTTCACAAATTGACCAAGTGTAGAATCATCTGCCACACCTGACTGATCCATTTCTGCAAATAAAAAACATCAAGTGAGGTTAACAGAGTACTATATCCAAAACTTCATAACTACAATTCCATAAACACACAACTATACTTCCAGAATTGTAAAACTACAATTCCATAATCTCATAAGTATACCACAAGGCAAGTTATGCTAAAAAGGATTTGAATGCAATTTGGTGCACAGAGTAAGGTTCACAGAGTAATACATCCAAAACTGTATAACTATAATTCCATAAATGCACAATTATACTTCCAAAATTGTACAATTACAATTCCATAAGCATACCTACAAGGCAAATTATGCTAAAAAGGCATTGATGCAGTTTGGTGCACAGAGTAAGGTTCACAGAGTACTACATCCAAAACTCTATAACTACAATTCCATAAACGCACAACTATATTTCCAAAATTGTAAAACTACAATTCCATAAGTATACGCACAAAGCAAATTATGTTAAGAAGGCATGAATGCAGTTTGGTGCACAGAGTAAGGTTAACAGAGTACTACACCCAAAACTGTATGTCTACAATTCCATAAATGTACAACTATACTTCCAAAATTGTAAAACTACAGTTCCATAAACTTATAAATATACTCATAAACCCATAATCATAACCATGCACGTTAATAATCAAATAACTATACATTCATACAAGATTAAACAGTATAAAACCCTAGTTTAAAATTTCATAAATATATACTCAAAATGAATGCTTGTTTTGTGTAAATGCATTATGTATCAACGTAAAATGCATTTATACTTGTTATAGGATGATGATGAGCTCTGGTTTACAGAGAAAACGCTGTTGAATTCGCAATGATCGGACGCCGGCGACAATAGCGACGACGAGTGTGTTTGAAAGCTAGAAAATTCTAAAGAAATGGTAAGGAAATGGAGATGATTGAAGCGTTTACGGAGGGTATCGTGTTGGAGAAGGAATGGAGTGCGGGAAGTGAAATGCAGTGGAGAAGAAACGAAGGAGCATTGTTTTATTTAAAAAAAAAAAAAAAAATCTGATTGGTGGAGTGAAACGGTGCCACTAACGGCACCGTTACTCTCTAAACGACGTCGTGTGGATCCGGATGCACCAAGTACGGTGCAACCGGATGCACAGCATAACGATTCCAATTTAGGCCTGAGTTTTATTTCTATAGCCCACGACCCAACCCTAATTAGATTAGAATTAGGAAAAAAATATTTGACTTATTTAGAACCTGGCTTGCGAAGACCAAAATTTAATCGCGACTCTACTCCAAGCGAAGGTGAAGCCTAGACCTCCACTCCTCCAGTGGATGGCAACGACTTCCAGGCGGCGGTGACCTCCCATTCTTTCCAGCGATATCCCATTATGTTCGACAATCTCCCGTAGTGTCAAGTAAAAAAATTTCTCTTTTTTTCTTCTTTGTCGTTTCACCCATAGTGTCAATATATTAATACAGAGTATATATTGTGGGCTTTGTGAGTTGTGGCTTGTGGCAATGTGAGTGAGTGACACAATGACACTTGTGTGAATTCTGGCTTACTGATAATGTGAGTGTGTGACACTTGTTTTTTTATTTTTATGTTTTTAATGTTGGTTTACAGTTTATTAATATATATTTTGTAAAAAAAAAAAAAAAAAAATTGAGGCCTCACGATACCTCGAGGCTTACGCCTCGCCTCAATATTACAAAACGCCGAGACTCGCCTCCGCCTTTTAAAACTTTGGTGGCACCAACTACAATCAGCTCCATGAAACAGGAGCATGAAAGCGCATTTGTTATGTAAGTAAGGTTTGCATGATGCCAAGTTGAGGTAAACGCGTTTGGAGAAGACCATGTATCTACTAATAAATGACGGTCAAAAAAATTAGCATATTATATTATTATTTCCAGACCCATCATGGTTGTTCTGATTGACAATGCGCAATCATTATTGTGTGGACCATATTTTGTATACTATAAAATGATGTACTTTTAGTATATTAAAAATGTACAATATATTCAGGAGATGTATATTATATTGTATAATGTACATTCAGCACACAAATAATGTACATTTAGTATATTAAAAATGTACTTTTTGTTATGGTCAACACATCATTGTGTGGACCATGGTCCACACAATAATTTGCCGACAATGGGGTAATGGGCTTAGCTTGTCCTGCAAGGCTGCAAAAAGAGTGATATGGGCTTTAAGTCCCCTACCCTTCCCCCGATAAATCATGGTCTACACAGTGTTGTGTGAACCATAACAAAAAGTACATTTTTAATGTACATTATATAACTAGTTTTCTTTACGCGCTTTGCGCGAATGAGATAATGCCCAATAATTATTTTTAAATAAGTATTTCAAAGCAATATTATATAGGAGATTTCATGCATAGGTAAATAAATGTTGTCAATAGAGGATGCTAATAAATAATTCAAAATATATGGTTAAAATAGATATTGATATAATGATATAGTAAAAATTAACTTACAAATTTCTTTAGAAGTTTCCATGCATTGATAAAATTTTGATGTGTAAACTTGTTCAATTGGAGCTAGTAGGATGTTAACATTGTCAATTATTTGGAAAATGATCCTACCATTTTAGAGTCCATGTGTAATTGTATTTATGATCAACAACTTTGTAGTTAGGCCGCGCAAGTCTGACAATGATGTAAGAACAATTTTGTTCGATAAAAAAATAATAATATAATATTTGTAAAGTAATGTACAATTGTACTAGTATAAAAAAATACAAAAAATCTTAATACCATAATGGGTACAAGTCCATAACTTCAATTGCTACATGTGATTTAAGCAATAAGACCAATCGCACAACAATCAATTAATTCCCCTATTCCTCCACATCACATATAGCAGCTCCAAGTAATATGGCAATTCTCTTAAAAAAAAAAAGTAATATGGGCAATGAAATGAATGAAAATCATACATGAGTTAATACCCAAAATGGTCCCTCGACTATGTCATAATTACCAATTTGGTCCTCAACTACCATTCTTACCCAATTAAGTCCTCAACTATGTAACTTTTACTCAATTAAGTCCTCAACTATACAATTCTTACCCAATTTAGTCCTCAACTATACAATTCTTACCCAATTTAGTCCTCTGTATTAATTTGACTTTTTGTTGACTGTCAAAAGTCAGGATAAAATTATAATTTTACAAGATTTCTCCTTCCTCTCCATTTAGCAGCGCCAAACCATGCAGCAATACACTCCGATCAGATTTCGATCGTCAAAAAATCGTTGGAAATCAAATTCATGGGCTATCCGATGCATAACCACTACTTCGATACTGACAGGTTTAGAACCCAACCGGAGCTTATTGCTACATGGTTTGGCGCTGGTAAATGAGGAGGAAGGAGAAAACTTGTAAAATTACAACTTTATTTCCACTTTTGACAGTCAACAAACAGTCAAATTGACAAAGGATTAAATTGAGTAAAAATTGTATAGTTGAGGACTTAATTGGATAAGAATAATAGTCGAGGACCAAATTGGTAATTACGACATAGTCGAGGGACTATTTTGAGTATTAACTCATCATACATTATATTCAACAATTTACAGTATAGAACAAAAAAAAAGAAAAAAAAGAAAAAAAAAAAAGAAGCAAATATAATGTCTACAAGCATTCAAAAAAAAAAAATATAATGTCTACAAAGACTACAAGTTCCAAAATCTTATTTTTCTTTTAAGAAAGAATTCCAAAGACTCTTTTTACATCTACACAGAATGTCGGCAAGTATTGTGATAATCTTTCCAGTTTTTCTACAAATGCATTTAAGCAAGCAATCAGAGAATTCTATCCTGGAGATCTGACATCAAGTTGGTAGCCATGGAGCTAATCTTCTTCCCAGTTTCTCCAGCAATATTCTTAAGGGAGGAGATATCTTGTTGTGCCTGACAGAAAAAAATAAAATAAAAATTGCCAATGAGTCCACAGGATATAAGAAGTTGCAAGTTAACATATAACATCCAAATCTTTTCACCTGGAAAGAGAGCCGATTTATGAGGTCACTTGCAGTGAGGTCAATGGGTAATCTATCATCGTCATGACCAAAGAGGTCAACACTGGAGATTGCTCTCGAATCCTAATAATAGAAAGGATATATTATTGGCATCAACAGCAACATTCAATTTGGAAACAGGCTCCTCCCAAATGAAAGGTAGTGACAAGATCATTAAAAATAAAAAATTTCCTGAACACATCCATAATCCCTTTAGGGGGCATTTGGTTCATGGGTCAAATTACCTTATATGTAATATAAACTTGTTTGGTTTAGGGGTTATCTTCTATGTTATAATAATTTTTTTTTTTTAAAAACTTTAATACCACATATTTTCATGTATTTCAATAAACTTCAAAAATCAAAATTAAAATAAATAAATAAGACAATGGTAACATTGTACTTGATTTAAAAATAATTAAATAAGAGCTTGAACTTGAGAGACAAAATTACTTTATAAGCTAACATGATGTAATAAGAAAAATAAAATAAAATATATAATTACAAAAATAATTAAATATGATACATATAGTAAGCTAATAAAATATAAGTTTCATAATAATTAGAATTAAAAGAGCAAAAACAGTAAATATGCATGGGAATCTTAGAAAACCTAAGAGTTGTGGGGGAATCACATTCCCCTCAAAATCCAATGTGGAGGGTGGTATGTTACATTCCTCAGGAATGTTGTATTCACTTGGAAAGTAAGATAACCTGAACCAAACATGGAGATGTGACATTCCAAAGCTTACATTCCCTTAGTTTAAGTATAAACTTTGAAGGGTGAAGGGATGATGACTTCAAACATTTAAATTATACTGTACTAACATTATTTGGACGACTCTAAACATTAAAAAAAAAATGTTTACTCAGAAAAAGGTCAGGCCAAATACACACAGACTGCCACATAGCAAAGTTTAGATATTATTAGTAGCCTAGGCACACCCTTTGATGGTCAAGTAACATTGATTGAAAGTAGGTGAAGACAGAATCAACAGAACAGTGTTTCACAAAGTTTGACCTAGATAATCACTATATTGTTAACTGAAAAAGAAACCTGCCAGTTGTAAATTAAGAACTAAGGTGCATGGAAAATGGCGGAAACTTATAGAGGCCCTCAATTTCCTACAACTACAGTTAACAATCAAGATATATAAAGCCAGCAGGGATGGAGGTATGGGTTATAAATAGATTTAATCATAGCAAACATACCGAGAACTTCTGCAGGGAAACTGAAGCTTCTGCGTCAGCCTTGTTTTTATCCCCAAAATATTGGGCTGATGAAATGGATTTTGCATTAGAAAACTTCTTCCTTGCTTCATCAGTTTCCTCAATCTAATAAATTGAAAATTAGATTAATAAAGAAAAACTACTGAATAATATAAAGAGATATATTACAACTCTATTCACATAGATCATCCTGCAGTATGAAACTTTCTAGTGCTAATGGGAAAAAAATATTCATAGCTTACTTGTGCTTTTGATGAGTTTGAGCTCGCCTTCTTTGTGAAACCACTGTCCATCCCATACTCCGCAAAAAAATTGGATGACTTCGGAGGGGCAATGTGGTTAAGAACACGAGGACCTCCAGAATTTGTCTCTGCAGGTTGCACATTTTCTGTGTACTCAAATCGGGAAGTTAATGATGAACCAGCTGCAGTGCTGTCACTTGCAGAGACAGAGGACACCTGAACTGGTGGTTCTTCTGGTTTTTGGTCATAGAGACTTTCACTTGTCTGTAAAATCAAACGTCTAGTTGGTCAATGTTAACATTATATATATTATATATATATGCAGCAAAATCCCTCTTTCAAGAAATAGATTCTCTGTCTCGTTGATCATGATTGCAAACTTGTGCTATACCTTCGCAGTAAGCTTTCGAGCACCAAGACCACCTGTCTTTCCAGTTTTCTTTGCAACTATAGGCTTCTTAATAGATGTGGCAACTGAATGAGAAACTTTAGGTACAGCAAGAATCTCAGGAGTTTCATCCTTAACCAAAGAACTTGCTTTAGGTCCTTCATTAATCTTAGAATCAGAAAACCCATTAGTAGGGGATACAGTCTCAGGAGCAACAGGTGATGATGGCAATGCATCATCAGCCATGCTTTTAGCAACTTCCTTCGAGAGCAGTTGCTTATACAATTCGGCAGCCCTAGAGGTATACTTGGCCTCAATCTTGCCTCCATCGGACCATCCATGCTGCTTGAAAAAAACTTGAGCACGGTTATTTCCACCAAAGTACATCATTTTCAATTGCTCGGGACTCCATGAATCTAAATTTGTTGACCTAAATAAAAAACAACTTATCAAAATTTCTTCAACAGAGGAAGATACAAAAGAATAAAATGTGTGCATAGCCAAATTAGTACTTAATACTGTTGAGAATCTCAACTTTTGATTAAGTATAGAATAAACGCGAAATCATTTCACCCCATTCTTTAAAAAAATCTCATAAAATCTACCCCCCAAATAGTTTAGGAAGTATTGCAACAATTGGAAATGTATTCCAGTAAACTCACAGTCCTTTTGCCTTTTTTTTTTTTTAAACCCTTGCTTGAAATTTAAAAAAAAAAAAAAAAAAAAAAAAAAAACTTATAAAAAAATGAAAGTAAGCATCTCTTTTTAATCTTGACTCTTGTTGCAACAGAGTCAAGTCTCCAATGAATATATTGTTACTTTAAAAATTATATGCAAATGGAACATAATTATTTCAGAGGCATCAATCCCCCTTTGGTGCATGAAATGTGTATGTACATATACTTGCATGAACATGAATTAACTCCTCAAATATGATAGACTAATTAACCTAAACATAGCACTAATGCTCCAGACCAGCAGCCATACATTATGATTACAAACCCATTGGCATGGGATGTTTGCACATTGCTCACCCCAAAAACTACAATAACTATACACTGCTAAACCCTTGACCTTATAAAGCAAAATTGCAAAAAATAAATAAATAACAAATACAATGCCTGCAACTGTGTACTGCACAGCTCTTAGACTTTAGACAATGAAAGAACCCTCAGTTATTTCCATTATCCTTGCTATCACTAGCAACCTGAACTAACTTCTCCAAGGATGGCCTCCTTATTCTTTAGGAACAGGAAAAAAAAAGTACTCTCATTCAAAATTTCCCACTTTATATACTACCAGTGTAAAAACAAAAAAGTTCACTCATGTTTCTCATATTTTAACCTTCTAGATCCTTTATTAGCTCAATATGAGTTGAAAGATAATTCTGCTTTTTCCCATATTGTGGCTTATAGTGATCTCTAAAATATAACATCAAAATATCTATATAGCTAATGCCAAGAGGAGTTATACTCGGAAAATATTAGAACAGGTAAGCCTAAAATCTGCTGTCAATTACAAAAATCCTAAAAAGAGAAAATGTTAAGTAACAAAAGCAGATGAAATTTACCTAACAAAGCTGACGTGAACGCCGAGGCTCCGATGTACGGCCGAGCAATCGATACACAGGAAGATCCCATAAGTCACAGACGCCCAGGTTGGGTTCTTCGCATTGCAATCAAAACACATCTGCCAAAGCAAGAGGAAATCCAAACAAAAAAAAAATCACAAACATTATCAACAAAAATCATTCGAAAACAATAGATCTAGGAGACAGAGCCAGATCCGAAACAGATCTACACAAACTAAATACAAATTCACAAGGGAATACGACGAACTTTGCTCTCGGTTTTCGCACGAAGCTTCCGGAAAACAGCATTCTTGTCGCTGAAATTCTCGGAAGCCATGGACGCTGTGGGGGAGAGAGACAGGAGTTCCGAGAGGAGGTGTAAGGAATAGAAATGGAGCTTTGCGTACAAGAGATAGAGATTGAGAAAGGCCTCCTCAGGGAACGCTACGGAGCAGCAAGGACAACGAATATATATATGTATAACCGCTATTGCGGAAAACCAACAAATAAATAAATAACAAATAAAATTAGGGAAAAATTACATTATTCGCCATTACATTAAATTATAAGGTAATAAGGTAATTATAAAATTAGTTTTTTTTTTTTTTTTTTTTGGAAAAATACCTGCGGCGACTTTATTAGAAATAAGTCGCGATAATATCAGGCGGAGATATATGTTGCTAAAACGCAGACGATACTAAAGTATGTGCTAAATAATTATCTGATCTAGGAATAAAGTTGACTGAAACAAAAACAAATGAAGACATAATTGATCTGCAGCTATCAATAACATAGCCCATGTAAGAATGAACTGTACATGGTGGTGAAGTAAGATAACGCTGCAATGTCAGGCAATCTGTGTAAAGCTGTACTGAAGTCTCGCCACGATCCTTTAACCATGATAAGGCTTCTTTGCATGCGAGTGTTTCGGCCATAAGTGGTGACAAACAGTCCGGGAGAGAGGCACTGAATGCTGCAATATATCCCCCATTCGCGTCGAGAAGGACTGCCCCCTCTGTTGCCTTGCCCATGTCGTGTAGGTATCCGGCATCTACTTGACAAATTTTGGTCGGCGGTCTGACGTTTGCAACAGTAGCATTCGACGGTTGAACGTGTGGCTGCAATGGATCGGCTGCCGGTGTAACGTTGGTGTTGGAGTGTGCAAGCTGCATTTAGTTTTTAATTGTTGATCGTGCTCACTTTTCATCGCTAAGCTATCATCATGAGATAGCCTTTTTTGTTATTTTATTAACTGTTCACTGACATCCATAATCTATACTAATATTGCAAATTTAGTCCCTAACTTTTGTTAATAAAGGGACGAAAAGTATAACGTTAATGATAACTTAGAAACAAAAAGTGAGCATGATCAATAATTTGGTACGAATTCTACAATATTTTCAAACAAAAAGGTACGATTTCACCAATTATATTATAACTTATAGGCAAAAAGTGTAAAGGTGTTTTTGGTTCATGGATTTACACACTAAGAATGGGAATCAAAATCATAGTTAGTGTTTGATTGATAACTTTTTAAAACACAACTATGGGATTTGATTATCCCTTCAATTAAAAACTCAATTCTCTAATTTAAAAAGGTTTCATTACATCTTATTGGTAATATGATTTTTAAGCTTTGTTCATATTAGTGCTTTAGATGTCATTATATTGGGATCAATTATTTTTATTTTTGTATTTTAAAACATTTATTCTCGTTATAAGGTCATCATACATAACCAAACATCAATATTGGTAATTATTCTAATTCCACCCTACTACCAAACATCAAAATACTTTCTCCAAAACTCATACTATTACCAAATATTTGATTCAAATTTCAATTTCATTCAAATTCTGATTCCATGTGCGAACCAAACATACCCTAATTTTGCCTAAAATTGGCGGGAATTTGTTTATAGATATATTGGGTCGAAATACCGGAAGTGCCCCTGATTGAGGAATTACGTTGTTGTCCAAGTTAGTTGGAATGACGTGGATTTCTTATTTACGCGTCTGTTAAGAGGTGATGATCAGGGGGTCTTTGGAGGGATTAATATAATCATCGGTTAGTTGAAGAGTAAATCTAGGGCATTAGCCAACTAGTCAATTACACTCCCTCTACAAATATCATTGACACCCCATTCAAGTGATTATTAAGACTTAATTAGGAAGTGTATTTGAGGATATTTTTGTAGATTTTTAAAAGTATTCCACCTTAACTTTTACCACCTTATTTTTTTTGAGAACAAAAAAAAAAAAAAAAAAAAAACTTTTACCACCTTTTGATTTATTAGAATTGAAATTTCAATTCTTTCAAACTATAAATTCTTAAAATTTAAAGAATTAGAATTTCATGCCATTCATTGATATCGTAAAATCTTCATCACTTAGAAAAAAAACAAAGTAAGTATATAATGACAATATTACCATTACATATCTTTAGAGGCCACTTGGTAATTAAAAAGTTTGAACTTTAATAAGAATTTAAAAAGTGGAAAATTATTCTTACTGATGGTTTTATTAGGACCGGGTACAGTAGTACAGAACGATGTGTATAGAAGCCCGAATTACAGGCCCAAGAACAGCGACCCAAATACAAACAACAAGGCCCACGGGATGGGCTATTGCTAACTATGCTACTGCTTGGAATCGAACCCAGGTGACTGGATTGAGAGTATGAGATCAAGACCACTGGACTAGTGTGCCTGTCGTATCTGAGTTGACCATTAGCTAAGGATCCAGGACCCCCATTTATAGCATACCCCCCTCCTTCTTTGGCATCCACGTGTCCCACATTGCCACTCCCCACTCCGCTTGCTTGTCGCAATTTACATCACGTTCTCCGCCTTTCCCGGATCTTATCTCCTTTACCACCTTGCTCACACCACCCCCTCGACTCACCATGCTCGGCGCACTCGCCGACCCCCTGCATGCGGATGCCGCCCGAGACCGACACCCTGGGGCGCCGGGACCGCGGTCGCACAGGGCCGCGCACCGAATGCGCCGGGTGCGCCACGGCCGGCCGGGGCCAACGCTCCCCGACCGACTCCTCCCTCGGTCATCAGCGCTGGCCCCCCGCCCGGGGCCGGCTATGGCCCCAGCGCGCCGGGTGCCAAGGCCCCGCTGGCCCGCGCCCCGGGCGCGCCGTGGCCGGCCGGGGCCAGCGCCCCGGTCGGCGTCCCTGTCCGGCCACCGGCGCCGGCCCCCGCCCGGGGCCGGTTGTGGCCCCCAGCGCGCCGGGCGCTAAGGCCGCGCCGTGGCCGACCGGGGCCAGTGCCCCGGTCGGCGTCCCTGTCCGGCCACCAGCGCCGACCAGCGTCCTTGTCCGATCGCCGGCGCCGGGCAGCGCAGGCGGCCCCTCCTGGCTTCCGGCCCAATCTCTTCGCCTCCCCCTATTGGCCCAATTACGTAGGCCCTCTGCGTCCATGGCCCACTTCCAATATCCCCATCACTTACATTTGGTGTAATTTTTGACTTATGAAATTTCTGGTCAATGGAAATAACATTCCATGATATCATGGTAAGTAAATCCCACCTAAGAAAGATAGGATTCTTTTTCTTTCGAATGACTGGGAATCTACCAAATTTGTTTAATTACGTATGTATCCTTTTTGGTGTCACGTTAAAAGTCTTTTATAAATTTACAAAATTTGTCTCTCTCACCATTACACATTATTTATCAAAGAAATTTACATCCAGGTATGTAGTTAAAGTTTTCCGTAATCTAATTTGCAATATGATTCATTACGTAACGATGCAGTGCGTGCATGTGTGTGCACACACACACATACACACACACACATGTGTGTGTGTGTGTGTGTGTGTGTGTGTGTGATCATTTGAGAACTCTTTTTCCATGAGTACATGAGAACTAATCGTGGCCTTTAACCTTGTGGGTGCGGATGGTCGTGATTTGTTTTCTTTTTATTAATTACTTATTTATGTAAGGGTGAGTCGGTAATTTTAAGCCAGCTAAGATCTTTTAATTATTATTTTATGGGAGTAGTATTTTTGGTATATTGGAATTTTTAATGTGCTTCCTGCGCCTCTTAATGATCGTGTGCGCCATAGTGTGCATAGTATTACAAAGATGTGTACATCATTAGAAGTGTGAATTGTATTCAAGCGTGTGCAATTATCATGACCTATTTGTGCACCTCAAAACATAATCGTGTGCACATATATTTTTTCCTGTATGCACTGTATTTTCACGATGGTGTGCAAATAGCCTATATTGCACAATGCAAGTGCACACATGGGAAATAATTTGCATTCGTCTGAAACGTACCAAAGTGCACACAACGCACTAAAAAACCAAAGTCAACCATTGAATAAGTAATGAATAAAAAAAATTGGCAAAAATAGATAAATAAATAAATAAATAAATAAATATAAATATAAATATATATATATATATATATATATATATATATATATATATATATATATATATATATATAATGGTTTCATATCTTTGTTGTGATTCACTGATTGATTCCTATGATGTGAACATGTGTGATTGTTGTACCATTTGAAGGAAGCATGACTAAGGTTTATGGGGCCTTAGTTTTCCTGATAATGATGCGGTCCTCGTGTGGCCATGATTGAAATTGGTGGTGTGACCTGAGCGTAGGCTCATATGTTGGTGGTTGTGTGATATGAATTGTACCCTCGTGTACTGTTATGTTGGTGGAAATGTTGGTGGTTGTTGGTGGGGGAACGACGGTTCCCGGAGGCATAAGGTTGGACTCAGAAGTACAGGGGTTACTCGGAGGTAATGGTTGGAACTGTAATACGACCGGGGGTAGCCATAAGGTTGGAATAGGGCATAAGGTTGGAACGATGATCTTTGTGACATGTAGTTGTCACTGTGGCATGTAGTTGCCAATGTGTGAATGTGTATCTTTGCTAATGGGTATGTCTTGATGTATTCTACTTTGTGATCAGTAGAATACATCTCGAGTTGTATTATTTGTTGTTGTTATTCTTGTCTTGTTGTTGTCATGGGATGTTGATTTCCCTTTCTCCTTTGAGAGTGTGAAAGAGTATTTGAAGTTGACTTCTCTCTATGGCTTTTGAAATGATATATATTGTATTCTGTTTCGAAAATGGTTTAGACTTATACTATCTATGTATGCTATTTAACGCGTATTGATGGGTTACCAGCAATGTTCGCTGACCGCGTGTCATCCCATATCTTTATTTTGCTTTACAGGTTGTGAGTAGCACGTTGGAGAGCGCGTTAGCAGTTCGTTAGTTAGTGTAGCTCCCTGTGACTGTTTTGTTAGACTTTTGGCCTGTGAGCCACAGATTTTTATACGAGTATGACTTATGCGTTTGTTTAGATTTAGCCTGTGCACCTATAGATGTATAGGTGTGGCATAACATCACCCGTACTTGTCTTTTAGCTTCCGCTTTACTTTAATCTTGATGAGTAGACTTTATCTCTTTATTAAGCTTTAA